ATTTAGTGCTTATGCTTCTAATCATTCGGAGATCGATGACGGTGTTCACGTTCGCGATCAGTGACAGTTGTCAATTAACATTTAATGCTTGGTCGTCATTGTGAATTAAAATGTAAGAGCAATGTATATTATCAGTAGTATATATGCTTATATTTGTTCTATAATCGAGAACGTCGAAATGGTTAGACTTAGGAGGTAGATCAACTATAATCCAAACGCGAATTAAAAATAAATAAGTCCCGTAATTTTTATCACAGCTTCTTAAGATCTGGCTTAACAATTACTGCAGTGATATAATACGTACCTACTAGAAGTGAAAACTATAATAGACAATGTAGTCGTCAAACAACCAACATTTGTCATACTTATCAATTGTTCTTATTCTCTTATCCACAACAAGTTACTTGACCACATAATGCACGACGCGACAAAAAATCATAACTCGTATAAGCTTTGACCACAGAGTAAATAATAGTAAGGTACGTGAGGGTAATATGCTCACCTTAAGATTTGCCGCCCTATAAAACCAAAACTAGGAAGAGGACAGAGACAAATACACAATGTCGTATACTATAACTAATATAGAAAAGAATAACAAACAAGCTTTGGCAATAATTAGCAACACTTCGAAAAATCAACTTAAAAAAAACTAACTATAGTACGTGAGGGTAATATGGTCATTCGGTTAATATGGTCACTTTCTTATAACTCAAAAACTACAGTGTCGTTTGCATAGAACGTTCTGTGATACGATAGCTCTTGATCAGTCTATCAAATAATAAAGGGTCAAAAAGGTGCTCCTTTATCGACGCCATTTTGACAGTTGATATTATTGTAAATATTTTACTCCATTTTTGTATTGTGTAGTGTAGTTAGTTTTTTTATGTAGTGTGTGTAAGTAAGTGTTTCTAATTATTTCCAAAGCTTGTTTGCTATTTTTTTCTTATTATATTAGTTATAGTACCTATTATACGACTTTGTGTTTTTGTCTCTGTTCTCCTCCTAATTTTGGTTTTATAGGGCGATAAAGCTTAAGGTGACCATATTACCCTCACGTACTTATAATATCAACTGTCAAAATGGTGTCGATAAAGCGGTGGCCTTTTGACCCTTTATTATTTGAATGACTGATGAAGAGCTATCGTATCACAAAGCCATCTATGCTAATTAGGATGTAGTTTTTGAGTTATAAGAAAGTGACCATATTAACCGGATGACCATATTACCCTCGTGTACTCTACAAGAACTTTGACTGAGAATTTCCCTTCATCTTAATCGCTAAAACTTGCTCCCACGGATTTCCCTTTTTTTTTTAAATTTCGGATAACTTTTTACAGGGAAATGTTTTAACTCTATTAATGCGGTGAGAAACACCGTTACACAATTAATCAATTCCGTCCCAAGGATTTCTATAACAAAGGCATAAAAAATCTGCATCACATCAATAATGGCTGACTAATGAGATTAATTTAATATGAAAACTCATGTACAAATAAAACTGTTTGAATTTTTCTTCATAAGGCGCAATTTCCTTATACATGGCACGAATTTGCCGAGTTCGCCAATATTTCGTTACAAAGTCGTCGTATATTTCTTAGTATTCTTGAGAAATTGATTTATGTATTATGTAATATGTATTTATATGCAATATACATAGATAGATCTTAAAAGACTTTATTATATCTATATCGTATGGATGTTGTATTTTTGTGTATTTACTTTTCATAAACCACTCATGCATACATATTTTATAAAACTATCGTCATGAGTATTAAACTTGTTTCACAAGTTTTATCATTCATGTTTGTGTACCGCTTTAAAGGTTACCGTTAATCCTAAAGGTTATCTAATATAGAATGCTTTCTATACCAGTTCTAATCGTCAATAAAGTATAAATAAATAAAAACTACGAAAACCATATGCATTTAATCGAAAATGCTGCATCTATCATACCATATTAAAAATATGTTTCACTTCTACACCTTCGACAGTGATGATTGATGAATTTCATCGCACACCCAAAACAAATACGAATAAAATTAGAAATTAACTAACTAAATGTGTAGGCGTAAGAATATCCTGTTGACAGATTTTTTATTAGGTGGGGTAGCCACATAATAAAAAATCTGTCAATCCGCCAATCGATCGAGACAACAATGGCAGATTCTTTCTCCTCTATGAGGTAATCTATTTGGGAGGCCTATGGGAGGAAGGGATTTTAAGTACATTTATAAATTTGTACGGGGGTTATACAAAAGCATTGATTTTTAAAATCCTTGTTAACGTATAAGCTACGTTTATGACAAATCAAACATGTCTAAGAATTGGCATCTATACAGACTGATTTTCATGAAATTTTCGCTTTGTAATAATTTTGCCTAATTCAATATAAACAATTTCATATAGATTTTCTTAGTAGAATGCAAAGTAACAACTGTTTGCCTTATACAGAAATTAACATTGTTACAATCGCGATAAACTATAGATGAGCGAAGTAGCGAAACCGTACATATTAGATACCTCATCATTATCATCATTACAGCCCTTCATAAGTCCACTGCTGAACATAGGCCTCCCCCAAGGAATGCCACAAAGCACGGTTCTGAGCCACCTGCATCCATCGACTTTCTGCATGCCTTACCAAGTCGTAACTCCATCTAGTGGGGGTCGCCCTACACTTCGCCTACTGGTACGAGGCTGCCACTCGAGAACCTTTCTTCCCCATCGGTCGTCGGTTCTTCGAGCCTTATGGCCGGCCCATTGCCACTTCAGCTTACTAATCCGTTGGGCTACGTCGGTTACTCTGATTCTACAGCGGATATCCTCATTTCTAAGTTTATCACGAAGAGAAACCCCGAGCATAGCCCTCTCCATAGCTCGCTGAGCGTTTGTTAGGTACCTACTTGTAATTTATTGCGCGAGAAAAATATACTAAACATACTCATTACCAGCTCCTTTATAACATTATTATCCTTTATAACTTTATAGAATTTTCTCAAGTGGCTTACTTAAAACAATAAAAGATATATAATTATCAAATCTTCTATACAGGGTTATTTTTCAAAGACTAGCCAGATTTAATAATTAAGTTCTAAATAGAAATACTGATATACATACACTTTTTGCAGTTTTTATAAATACGCATAAATAAGGTTTCTACATTTATTTGGAAATATCCGAAATTGAATGTGATTTATGGGCAACAACAACGCGCCCTCGTGTGAGTACGAGTCAATGCTCGGAGCTTTTTGCCTACTATTTACTTCTTTAATGACACGCTCGCTACTAAGTTGATAACTACGACGCGAATTCGGCCGGTGACTTTGCAGGCCATGGTATAGGATCTGCAAAACCTGCGCCTATCTTCGTATAATAACGCACTGACTAACGAGGCGGAGTACCGTCGTGTTGTTAAATAAATTTTATTCCGTAACACTAGGGGTATATCGTCCAGGAAATCTTAAATAACACCTTGTAACATGTCCAAATAATTACCACCCAGTAATAGTCTTAAAATGAAGAACGGCATCAAAAAAATCGCACTTGATGATAACTGTCTTTTATAGTATATGGGTTGCATACAGTAGAGCAATGTTCGTTACGACTATATTAAAGTCCTACACGCGTAAATAGGGCTTTGTCAGTCCACATAATATTAGCATTATCAATGTTGGACTTTGACATCAAACATTCACAAAATTATCATTATATTTATTATTCAGTGCTTGCACACGTTGATAATGAAATGAGTGATATCTAGAAGAATTCAGTAGTTTCCACACGTAACACTGGCCAGTCATTGGTCCTAGCGCGGGGGTTTCGCTCGAAAAACTCGATCACTGTGTTTTCAACAGCCGGGCTTATTACTGAATGACCACCTCAAGCACTTCCATGTGACGGAGTGGTGAAGTCTAGCAGCATTTGGTTTGGTACACACTCCAATAGGGTGATGCCCGCGCGTTATTTCGTTGTCTATGCAAACGGGGTAGACTCACTTTCCTATAACTTACCTACGAACGTTTAAAAATAGGACACTCGGTATGCAATGAGGTCACGGTCAAGTTAACGCTGTCGTTCGGCCAGGTGAACGTACCCAGCGGTGCGGAAGGGAAAGGGCGGGGAGCCAGGAAGATGCGTTTGTCATTACTAAGTCAAAACAACAGCTTTTAGATAGCTAAATCTGAACAGAGTAAGAGCTCCGAATGCTTCCGAACTCAATACTCCCTTACGAATGTGTTGTGTGCGTGTAAAATAGTAGGCGCTTCATATTTATGAACGAAAATCAATGCCTTTCCACACATTTTGAATATAAAGGATAAAGAGGATAAAATGTTTCTGTTTTTTTTCCTTGTTAATTTTTTTCACCATTCGCTTATATTACCTATTCTGAACCACCTCTGCAAATTTGGCCGGTTATTGCAAAATAACCCTGTACTATAAGAGATTTCCACCTATGTGCTGACTCATCATGATATCTCTGGAAACATAAGGCCTAGAGACTTGAAATTTGGTAGGAATATTCCTTTTGCCGAGTAGAGGTCAGCTAACCCCGCAACCCCCTTTATGTGTGAGATTTTTACGAAATCTCACCCACAAGTGGGGTTGCGGGGGCGTTAATAAAAAAAATCATTTTCAAACTATAGCCCTTATTATTTTTAGGTATATATTTTTTTGTTTTTGAGTGGGGTCCCTGGATGGTTTAATTTCACAATGGAACCCCGTAGGTGGCGCTTTTGTCCAAAAATCAGCCGTGCGAAGCCGGGGCGGATCGCTAGTTTAAGATATATACAACAAAATAACTTTTTATAATAGTGGAGTAAAACTAATAAGTAATAACATACTATGCATCGTAATCATAAATGTATTCCTTAAGAAAAAACAATCGCTACACGCATCGACTAGCTTACATCAAAAGAAAATAAATTAAAAGAAAAATATTTTGTAACTAAAAAATGCAGCAAAGAAAAAAATAATTTTTATTCATAAATTATTAAACTTACCAATAGGTACCTACGATGAAAAACTACAAATCACATATTTTTCAAAAATTTTAACATATTAAGCTTTGTTCAAACACTTTACAACGATTTCATAGTTTAATTCAAAAACACTTGTTTACAAAATTAAAATACGTTGTTCAAAAATAAAAAAAACAACTGTGTTTATTTTTGTTAAAAATGAAAATTGTAAGACAAGCAACAATCCCCCGCTATGTCTAGTGGTGTACTGCTTTACCGATAAATGCTAATAGGCTCTCCTTCCTTCATGTCGTGTTGCCGCACTACATACCATACATTTAACTTCCTTTTAAAAGGAAATGAAGTTTTCTATTTCATATAGAAAATTTTCGTCAAATTGGAGACATTTTCTTTTGTATTAATAATTCAGTAAAATTAAAATTTTCACTCTGATTTATGGGTAAATTCTTATTACAAAAACGTAAACTTAGAACTATCTTTAAAGCGTTAATTACTCACTGTGTACTTGCTTTTCCTTAGGTATTTCCTATAAAATAAACATGTCTGAAGCCAATAAAATTTGAAAAATTGTTGTTTATAGATTGCATAAAAAATATCCATGTTGTGTAATTTATCCAAATTGCACTAATAGCATCTATAACTGGCAACACAAAAAAATCACTTATTGGCGTAAGATTCAAAATCCTATACAGAGGGCGAGGGCGCACGAACTTAGGTGATTTTATTTAATTAGTCTGTGATTACTATAACGATAACTGGATAACGTCATTAAGAAGCTTATTTTTTCTTTAAGGTTTTAATTGATTCATATTTTGTATGCACTTCAAAAGAAAATTAAAATTGGCTGTAATTTAAGTAAACAAGTTAAACATGAACGTAATATTTTACTGCTTTATAAAATTCATAGTTGTAGGCAACTATGAATTTATAAAAACTATATTTCTAAAATTCAATGACTAGTTTTCGTAATTATACTAGGATGTTATACAGTTTATTCGGATTTCGTATTATACTTTTAGCGCCATCTGGCATCAAGCCGCCATAAAGTTTCGAGCAGCCGAGTAAATAACTTTATGAAAATATTTAGAATGCAGCAAAAGATGGCAGGTTTAAATTTTATTGGGAATAATACAATACAGATATTAGTTTTATGATATGCTATGTTGGAAGTAGTTATAATGCCTACTCCTTATAAATAAATAAATAAAATAAAAAAATAAGGTAAATAGTTGTTTTAAATTAAGGACCTCTCGTTTAGATGAGAATTTTGGAGGTGTAATAAAACGACACAGGCATCGCCATCTTGTGATGATGTTAAACAACTTATTGACCTTTAAGAAAACCTGAAACAAAATCTGCTTAATTCTGATGAAGAATAGTGTGGTGGGCTATGAAAATTAAATTTTGTTCGTTATGGAAAAACGTTCTAAAAAAATCATAGCTTTGGTAATTATTTAAAAGGTCTGAACCGAAACCTCGATACCATAAACAGAAGTTTTCATTTATTATTTGAAGGAATCGTTAGGTGCTCATAATTTATTCTGGACCAAATTTTTTAAGCCACGATGTCACGACATCTCTGTGAGTACCGTAACAGGCAACTATGGGGAAATACTAGAAAAAATTCTCAAAGAAAAGTTCTTATGGTACCGATAGATGGCGTCTGCCATCTCCTACAGGACAGTTAAATATCCAGTAACGACCACAGAATCGGCTCTTTGTACCGAAACCGGCGACCGACAAGAAACATAACATTAATAACGATTATCATATATTATGCCCAATCTTTTGGCCTCCAATAGATGATAACACAAAAAGGCACGCACCATCCATCGTGAAGAGTTGAAATTTAAGACGTCTCGCACTTTTGACGTTGCGGTTCAGACTAACTTATATCATCATTTTCATTACAGTCCACTACTACAAGTCCACTGCTGATCATAGGCCTCCCTCAAAGAATGCGACAAAGCATGGTCCTGATGCACCCGTCAATCCATCGACTTCATGCATTTCTTACTAGGTTGCAACAGCAACTCCATTTAGTGAGGGACTGCCCTACACTTCGCTTACTGGTACGAGGCTGCCACTTAAGAACCTTTCTTCTCCATCAGTTATCAGTTTTTCGAACTATATAGTCAGCCCATTAACACGTTATCTCTCTTTAACTTCATCAGCGGTTGTATGACTTTTTGTGCTATAATCGATTGGAGGCCAATACGATACTTACGGGACTTAATGGGTTCGAATCGTCCATAAAATGGACTACCCATTTTATGGACGATTCGATTTACTGTTAAAGGCTAACGAAAGAAGAAATAGAGCATAATTGAGCGATACTGGGCTTTTAATGCAGATCTGTTTCGTATTTCATAAGATTATGTACATAATAATTATGTTTTATACTCTGCTCGTAAGCAATGAAATCTACATTTTTTTTAATAGTATAAGGGTGAAAAACGAGCACACAGTCCAGTTGCTGTGGCCCATAGACATAGCTACATCTGTCCACGTTTGTGAATCAAAATGCAGATGCGTTGTCACCCGTGAGGACTAAGATGGAATGCCTTGTTTCCAGTAAAAAGGGTCTCCGGTTCTCTACACTCACCATACGAAACAAAGCAAGCTTAAGTTGCTATTTTACGCTGGTATTCTGTGAGAGCGTGGTCCTTCCCCGGTCGCGCCGACCCATTCGTGCTACAACCATACTATTAATATAGCTGCAGCATGGCTCTACCACGTATAAACAAACAAACAAATAAATGAAACTTTGTCGTATGGTGCAGTTAAATAAACATTGCGATTTATTTGTGTTACGAGCTCTTAGTACAGAATAAAATAATAGTACTTACCTTTTAGTCTTAATAAGACATTGTAATACATGCTTATATAATTTGAAATAATTCGATTGATTTCGATAGTCGTGTGATGGCAATGACAATGAAGGCAAATCATCACCGCAATTAGTCCCACGTCTGTGAAAGGGTCAGAATGATGTTATGGCTTTTGATTGCAATACATAGCGGTAAAACCTTCTCGTCAGAGGAAGAAGATAGGTACCTATACATTGAGAATGTCGTAAGCCACAACAGATGCGCTTTCAACATTAAAATACGTCAAATTGCAAAGTCATCGTTACCTTGCACATCATGTCACAGCTTTACTATTTTGACCTCATAATATTGATTAAGTAACTATAAATAATATAAAAATCTACGTGAAATATATTACAAAACTTTTACGATTACCGTCATGGGACACACCTAAGTTGTAATCAAAATGTTTATCATCGTCATCTTTGCATAAAGTAAGCCAGTAGCGTAAATGATGCAAGAAGTCCATTACTGCGATCGTCAGTCCAATTGAATCCGTCAATTGACCTCTCGGTCGAGGTTGGACTTACCTAGTCTGACTATTTGTCCCGGGTAAACATACCCGTCAACAACTTCGAGCTCAGTGCTCCCAACAACTACCGGCATATGTGTGACATGGACGTAATACAAGATCTTTGTTTTGTCCATGTTCATCTTAAGACCTATCCGTTGGGAAGCACTATTGAGACCATTGAGCATAATGCTTAGGTCCTCCAGTGATTCTGCTATAAGGAGGACTATATCGTAGGTAAATCGAAGGTGAGTGACGTACTCGCCGTGATGTTAATACCGTATCCTTTCCAGTCCAGAAGTTTAAAAACGTCTTCCAATGCAACTTTGAAGAGTTTCGGGGATATATTGTCACCCTGTCTTATACCTCTCTGCAGTTGTATAGGTTTCGTACGCTGATTCTGTACTCGGATAGCCATCGTAGCCTTAGTTGTACAAACACTTCAGCACATCGATATACTGACAGTCAACTTGGCATCGCTGAAGGGACTGTAGCACCGCCCAAATTTCAACGGAATCAAAGGCTTTTTCATAGTCCACATACGCCAGACATAGTGGCAAATTGTACTCCTCGGACTTCTGTACGATTTGCCGAAGGGTATGTATGTGGTCTATGGTGCCTTTTCGGAAACCAGGAGGATGGAAGTCGTCGAGTCTGCATGCGAGACGATTCGTAATGACTCTCAAAAACAGCACGTAGACGCGGCTCAGAAGGGAAATCGGTTTGTAGTTCTTCAAGAGAGCGTTGTCGCCTTTTTTGAAGAACAAGACCACCGCAATTCTTTTTTTTTATAGGAGACGGGGCAAACGAGCATGCGGTTCACCTGATGGTAAGTGACTACCGCCGCCCATGAACAACCGCAACACCAGGGGAATCGCAGATGCGTTGCCGGCCTTTTAAAAAGGAATAGGCTCTTTTCTTGAAGGTCCCTAAAAAAAATCGCTGATGGTAAACTATTCCACAAGGGAGTTGTGCGAGGAAGAAAACATCTTCTAAATCGCACAGTGGTGGACCGCCAATCATCCAGATGGTGTGGATGGTATCGGGAGTTCTGCCGCGATGTGCGTTCGTGAAATTTGGCGGCTGGGATTAATCCGAACAATTCCTCAGAGCACTCCCCATGGTAGATGCGAAAAAAAATGCAAAGAGATGCAACATCTCTTCGCAGTGCCAATGAGTCGAGCCGATCGGAAAGGACTCGGTCGTCGACGATTCGAGCCGCTCTGCGCTGGATGCGGTCAAGTGGAAGGAGCTGGCACTGGGGAGCTCCAGCCCAGAGATGGGAACAGTATTCCATGTGAGGCCGAACCTGCGCCTTGTAAAGTTGCAGGCGTTGAGCTGGCATGAAATACTGTCCCGCTCTGCTGAGCCGCCAAGCTTTTTAGAGGCCAATTTGGCCTTCTCTTCCAAGTGACCACGAAACTGCACGTCACTCGATATGTCGACGCCGAGGATTCCGATACTGGCTGAGGCAGCAAGTTGAGTGCCTTGAAACTGAGGAGATACGACAAAGGGGTTCTTTTTAGCGGTAAACGCGCAAACTTGCGTCTTCTGAGGATTAAACTGGACTAGATTTAGTCGCCCCCAATCCGAGACTTTGTCCAGCAAAGACTCGACTTCAGACACAAGTTTGTTCCGGTACTCGGTGACGTTTTCCCGAGAAATATTGGCACGGCCGGTGTATAGAGCATCACCAGTGCTGTCATCCGCATAGCAATGAATGCTACCGGCTTGCAACATATCATTAATATGCAGAAGAAACAGCGTTGGTGATAGCACGCAGCCTTGTGGAACACCAGCGTTTTCAATTCTGCTCCACGCCTCCGGTGTAGTGCCACCATGGAAGAAGGAATTAAAGAGCTTCTGAA